TATATATATATATATATATATATATATATATATATATATATATATATATATATATATATATATCTGTCATCGTACTTATATCTATGACCGAACACGGTCCATATATTATTTTTAGAACGGTGTTGAATCCAAAAATCCACTTAAATACTGCCATTTGGATATAGCTGGTAGTGCAGGTGATCTTCCATTTCAACCAGTTGGCTCACCGATTTTGGCACTGGCTAAATACTTTCTTCTGGACAAAATTATGCAATCATGGAACGACGAGAAAGATGACCAAAACTGATAACAGGATTACTATTGTATTTTCAGGACCTAAGAAGGATTACTTATATTTCCGAACTATTCCTATTCCTCAATATTGTGTTTTTCTTTTCCAGAATCTTAAAGCCCGCTTTATTTTAGGTTTCGGTGCTCAACGTATTGCTTGTAAACTGATCTTTACATTAATGGGGCATTTTTGTTTGTTTGTTTAAAATGATAATAATCGGTTTTGGTGCAGGCATTAATGACACATTTGAAAGCTTTTGCTTTTTATCAAACAATTTTTAAAGACTGCATTTAGTTTCTCTTTATCTATTTTTCTTTTCAATATCGATTACAGCACGGAGCCTGCAGTTGTTCGCCTTTAAAGTACACACATATCGACATAAGAGGTCATTTGCCGTATCCCCACCACCTATCATACAGCGGAAATCCTGTATTGGCATTGTCCTATTGTTACCTGATTCAAGGAAAATGTCTCACCGTACGAAACGATCCACCTTTAGAAATGCAATACGTATGCGAAGTTGATTGCAAACCTATATGCATACCACCATACCAATCATGCACTATACCCTGTGAACCTGCTCCTGTACCCTGCATTACTCCACCTTGTGGTACGTGTCCACCTGATCCTTGTTATCAACCTTGCCCACCACCACCCTGCCAACCCTCCCAACCTTGTCAACCCTGCCAACCATATTCTCCATGCCCTGAACCGGTAACTGTCGTTGAACCTATGTGCACACCGAACGTTCAAAGAAATGGTCTGAACACTTGTGCTTAGGCTTCTTTATTTGCTATATATATATATATTTTTTTTTTTTCTATATATCAAATATTTTTGGACAACTTTTTTTGAGTACATTCATCTCTTATACACCATCTCTTATGTTTTTATAATTTTTATAAATTGTTTTATGGTATACAGTTTGTAGCATTTAATCTACTTAATTTTGTATTTAATTAAATCAATGATCCATGGATTAAAAGATGAATTTTATATCGAGATAATATTGATAATTTATAAAAAAAAAAAAAATAGATTATTATACTTTATATTATTATACTTTCATATTAAATAAAAGAAAAAAAAAATAATCCACACAGTATTTTTTAATAAATAATTTTAATTAATATCCTTTTACGAGAAATAAAATTTGTGAAAAATGTTTATACTGCAAATGTTTGATCTGAACACTATATATATTTGATAAATGAACAAGTTTTGATTTGATAAAATGATAGATTCGATTAAAACTAATAATATTTAAATATAAATATCATAAACCGATAAATATCATAGTTGGAAAAAACATTTTTAAATGTTTCAACATCATTCCATTTGTAGAATTTTTGTCTTATAAGAATTCTTATCGACAGAGTTGTATCGACTGCTAATAAAATAGTTCTCTATCATTTGTGTGTTTAATATATATACTGTTCTGTCGATATTGTACCTTTTATAAGTAACCTTTTCAAATTTGTCCCCTTGGTATACTGCATTATCAGCATATTAATAATTGTATTTTTTTAGTATCGTAACAGGTTTGTTTTTCTCTTATGTCGATAACGTAGATTCTCATTTCCCGCGCTTATTAAAATTATTAAAATCACATATTGATCCTAAATCTTATTATAACAAAAATATTTATAATAATGTTTCATCAAAAAAANAAAAAAAAAAAACATAAATATTAATATTTATAAATAACAAAATACCAAACACAATCTCGTACATTAAATAATTACCTTAATCTCCTGTAATAATTTTTTTCTCATACGTAAAACATCGAATTAATTTTAAAAAAAAAAAGTCTAATTGAGAAAGATGAAAAAAAAAAAATAATTAAAACAAAGAAAAACAATTCGATTTTTATTCAATTTTCATTCGTCAATTTGGTTAGAGTTGAAAAAAAAATTCAAAAGAAAAAAAAAGGTGGTGCAAATCATAAGCGTGTAAAGCATCATGGAAAGGAAACTTAATTACAGGCACGTCCTTTCTTAATTAAGAGAAAATGTTTGGCGTATCTTGAGGAGATTACGGTGTAAGAGAGGTCCGCTTCCGTTTGCGGTGAACCATCCAGCCATCCAGCCAGCGTGCGCGTTCTCTCACGATCGAAAGCCCCGATCCAAAACAAACCTCAGCATTCTCTCTTTGCACGAGCAACGACTGACTACCGTGTTGATTAAACGACAAGCAAGCAAGCAAGTAAATTGAGCATGTGAATAATCTTTTGCAATGAAACGTTCGACAGAACGAGTACACAATGGTGGTGATGAGTATCCGTACGTAAATAATTCGCAATCTTATAAAAATGTTTCAAAAACTGTATAATTCTTCGATCATTCCTTCAGTTTATCATACAACTTACAATTTTATTATTAATCTCAAAACAAAACCGATATTAAATAATAATACGTACATTTTCCAAAAACACTTTCATTAATATCCAAAATATAACTTATATTAACCGACATTATATATATATATTATCTATCTATCTATCTATCTATCTATCTATCTATCTATCTATCTATCTATCTAAAAACAAATATTTTCTCTAGACCCTTTAGTTCTCGAAGGACCAATTTCCAAAAGAGGAGAAGACCTGGTTTGTATTGATCGCGGGAGGAGGAACACTGTCGAGCATCTCTACTACGATGGGTAGTAGCAGCATAGTATCGGTTGGGTACACGCTAGTTGACATTGTTTAAAGAACTTCAAGGTAGAGAGTTGTTGAGAAGGTTGAGAAGAAGGAAGGGTGGGAGGAAGGGGGAGGGGGAGAAGAAGTGGCGAGAGGAAGGTTGGCACACGGTGGGAAGCGTTCGCGAGAAGGATGAGGATGACGATGAGAAAGAGAATGAAGAAGAAGAAGAAGAAGAAGAAGAAGAAGAAGAAGACGAAGATGAAGAAGACGAAAGAGGAGGAGGAGGAGGAGGTTGTGTAGAGAAGGGTGGAGGAGGAGGAGGTGGTGGCAGGGGGCAGTGTGGCGGGTTCGACGGCCGGCTGGTGGCCCAGTGACCGGGACCGGTTCCCTCCGCGGTTCCTCCTTCCGCCTTCCTTGCAAACGCACAACTGCATCATCTCGACTGGACTACCTCTCCCTCCCTACCCTCCCTTCTCTTCGTCCCAACCCCTACCCCAAACCCTCCCCCCCAGCAGCAGCAGCAGCAGCAGCAGCTCGCTTTCGTTCCCTCTCGAACCCTTTCCTGGCCTGGCTCCTTCTCGTTCGCGTCACTCGCCGTTCGAGTCAAGACTTCCTCCCTCCCTCCCTCTTCCTCTTACTGCTATCGCAACCTCGCTATCGTTGCCTACCCTCCTCCCTCCACCTCCTCCTCACCCTCACGTCTTTCTCCACTCCACACCTCCCGTTTCCCCTAACCCACGGTTCTTCTCTTCGGCTTCTTCTTTCGCACGAAAGCGTTGCCACACGCGCGAAACACCTTCTCTTCATCTTTCTCTCTCTCTCTCTCTCTTTCTCTATCTAACTCTTTCTCTTTTTCTCTTTCTCTTTCTCTCTCTCTCTCTCTCTCTCTCTGTTCTTTACCTCCCTTCCGTCTTACACCCTACCGTGTGTCTGATCTCTCTTTCTACTCTCCTTTTCCCTCTTCCGTCCTGTTCACGGAGCTCCTCTCTCAAGGCGGAGGTCACGACGAGCACTATCCTCCTTCTATCCCTCCCCCTTCCCTTATCACCCAACTACCACCACCAACTACAACTCCATGGTGTATATCTCTTTCTCTCGCTCTTCCGTTCACTGATCGAGGGAGCAATATAGGTACGGATGGACGAGCAAACTATTTATCCCACGCGACGACGTGGGCAGTCTACGTATAGTAAGTAAAGACGGCCCTTCAGAAAAGGAGGATGATGATGATGATGATGATGATGACGACGATGACGATGACGAACTAACATATAAATGTATTTTGTATCCTACCGAGTTAAACCTTTCTCTTTCCTCTTTCTCAATCTCATTCTTTACTATACTGTTTATACATATATATATGTATATATGTATATATATATATATGTCTTCAAAGGTGTATCTTTAAATTCAAGATGGGCATGGTCGGGTACCTCAGTCAAGGGCTTGAAAGGAAAAGTAGTTCTATGAAAGAGAGAGAGAGAGAGAGAGAGAGAGAGAAGAGAAAGAGGGATGGAAGAGGATGATGGGAGGAGAAGGAGGAGGAGGAGGAGGAGGAAGGGAAGTGAAAGTACAAGCCGAGAGAGAGAGAGAGAGAGGAAAAGAGAAAGAGTATACCGACGGTGCATCCAAGATTTCGTGCCTGCCTGCATGCTTGAAGGTGCCGTTCCATGTTGTTCCTAGTAGTAGTTCTTTCCTTCTTCCTAGTTCTACTTCTATTTCAAAACATCTTTCCTACCTCCTACTGTCCCCACCTCATATATTCCTACTACTCTTTCTTTGTCTCTTTATTTTCTCTCACCCACCCCCCCTTGCACCACCTCCTACCCCCAACCACAACGTCCTCCCACTTTTTGTAATCTTCGCACCTATACACCTTTACGAGAGACGAGACCTCCTGGTGCCTGTTACTGAACTAATTCTCTAACGTGCTTCTATATAATACTAAGGTCAACATACACACACACACACATTCATACCTTCCTGTTGCCGGAAATACTCTGGGAAATAGTTTTCCACGCTTTAGAAATCTTTCATTTCCCATTCTTTGTACTCGTAGTTTCCATTGAAAAGATCAAACATAACTTTTGTAAATGTTTCGCGTTCATTTATCTATTTTTTTTTTTTTTCATCTCTGTCTCTCGAAAATTGGAACACACAAGATAAATATACGATCATTTTGTTTTATCAAGCAGCTGACAGTTAGTTGGAAACTCCAATATGTACAACATATCGTTTTCCAATCCCGTTGATGTAATGATATAGTGTTGTCAATAAAAAAGAAGTAGAAAAAATAGTAATAGGTAAGAAAATATAGGAAACGCGTGGAAAAACAGTGGTAAAACACAATGGGTGACAGTGTAAACGAGAACATCCGTTAGGATAGAAGGGAGCTAGAGAAATATTGAGACGAAAAGAACTGGTGGTAGAAGGCTAAGGACAAAGGTACACGTATAGCGGGATAATCTATAAGAAAGACGAAGGAATGAGGGCAGACGAAAAGAAAAAAAAAAAAAGAAACAGAAAAAAAAAAAAGAAAATGGGCTTCGGTCATTCGCGCCAAACTATACTTGGACAACGTTATAACGGGACACGCGAGAAGATCCCGCTTTACGAATACATTTTCGACTTAGTAACCCTCGGCTAGCGCTTTCTTTTGCTCCCTTCTCTTCCCTTCCTGTCCCTTCCCTTCCTATCCCTACCCAGTGGTTAAAGGTATTCAGTCGTCGTCTGCTAATCGAAAGGTAACCCAGAACGAGAGAGAAACGAAGATGATTTGGTACCTCGACTACGCAACCTCCTTTCTTCCTCTACCTTTCCTTTTTATCTTTTTCTTTTTTTTTATTCTTATTCTTATTCTTATTATTCTTATTCTTATTCTTATTCTTTGCTTCCATACCTTAACGGAAGGCTTTACGAAGAATCGATCAGCGGTGTCACGCGACTTGCCGAAAATGGAACGCGACGATCGACACGTACTCAACAACTTCGACTCGTATAAGTTCTTCGATATGAGCTCAAAGATTATCCCCATTGTTTTATTCATATACTTCATTCATTTGTAAGGTATGAAATATTTTTATAATAATAATAATTATATAAGATATTTAAAAAGTATTTTTTATTATTTCATTTATGAACGATAAAGAAAAATCACAAATTCTTATCAAAGTATCAATTTTTAGATCAATGTCGTATCTGTTAATAAAAAATTATCATACATGAGATACTTCCTAGTATCTTTTAAATTAATTGTAAATATCCTGTGACCTAAAAATCATCTATTTTTTTTTTTTTTTATATTTTATTCATAAAAGCAACTGAAACCTGGTTAAATGAATGAAG